GTCATTAATTTATGTTACTAATCCATTAGTAATCCATTACTAATTTGAATTCTATCATTAAATAATTAATAATGCTGGAGTTAGCAACAACAAAAATATCATCACTAACTGGATTCCGTCATGAATCCTTCGCTAATCAAAATACTCGACAGAAATTTCATAACCAATTTACTTTTTTTTAATGCTAATTAAATTCATCATTCAACCTCTCGCTTATGGCATTGGCAATTACTATTTAGTATTTCAAAACATTTAAGTTACTCCAATAGTTTTTTTCTTTGCTGGGAATGAGATTTGAGCTCTTACACTGGCAAAAATAATTAATATATTCTTTTTTTATGAAAAATAAATTAATATATCCAAGCAGACGTGTCTTCGCATAATTTTTTTCCCATAAATGAATATAATTATGGCCTTTTGCAAGTTTAAAAGAAAATAAGACCTCTATGTAGCTTTTTAAAATATACTACATAACTTGTTCATCACTTTTCATGTGATAATTTTAAATTTGAGTCAGTTTCAACATTTAGTGCATTATATAATCAATCTACCTAATGACAAAGCGACGATATAAATTAATGTCGTTACATTTAAGAAGTAATTTTATTAGGAAGCACATGAAACTAATGCTGGGTTAAATAAATAATTCATCTTCCGCAACTTCAGAAGAAAAAAATAGAAAATGTGATCCTGCTGGATTTGCCAATTGCCACCTATTAAACATCACTTTCAACTAAAAATTTTTGTCAATATCAGACATTTTAATTAGTTGTTTAAATTGCAATTTGATGGGTTGACAGAGCATATATGAGAACAAAATATCATATAACGACGTAGAGAAAAAATCTTTCTAGGAAGCCCCACTATAGACTTTTAGATGCAGGGTGAAGTAAAAGCCATGACCAAAGATGAAACACATCAAAGAAAAGGAACATCGGGGTGTGTGTGCGTGTACATTTTATAGATACTAGTACTTTTTTTAAAAATTTTAATTTGATGCCTGCAGTTTTTATCAAACCATTAACTTTACCCTCCTAGTACTATTACTAACAAGCCAAAGTTTATAAGACTAATCGGCTAACATATCGAAGTTAAAGAATTCAATAGATGCAAAAAAAAAAAAAAAGTATACGTGTATATTTACAGGGCTAAGAAAGCCAAATTATATTTAAAAATTAATAAAAAAGGAAAATATTATTTAAAAAAAGAGAGAAAGTATAAGTAATTCTAAAATTACTTTCCTTAAAAAAAATTCTAGAAAATTGTGAGCAGTAGAAGCTTTTGGGTTTCATTCCTTTTTCTTCCCCATTATAGGGGAAGAAAATAATAAACAATTACTTTTTTTTTTAACCTGGAATAAACAACTACTCTAGAAAGAAAGAAACAAAAATCATCTAAAGAAACCAAGTGAAATTTAGGAGACATCGTCAAAGCAGACTTAGTTAGTATATCAGTTGTAGAGTTCTTCTCTCCTCCAATATGTTGAAGATCAAATTGTGGGCTAATCTCGCTTAAGCATGCCATGAATTTCCAAGACTAAACTTCAATTATCATGGACATCATTATTATTACCATATTTCATAAGTTAATTGCATGTATATGAAGAATCATTCATCAAGAAAACTCGTCTATTATATTCTAGGTTTCATTCCACATTACATGAGAAATGGGAACAGGTTTTCACATCTGCTTTTGAGACTTCGGCCAAAACTGTTCATATACTATCTTTGTTTCGGATAAAAAATTTTGGTAAAAAAAGGAAAAAGGATGAAGAAGGGCAATTGGACCCACCACCTTTTCTTTTTTTTAAAAGGAAAAAAATAAAAACACCTTTGATTCGAATGGCAATGTGTTGTTTGAACCCAACATATCATTATTTCTTTTTTCTTTTAATTTTTCTTCTTTTTTTTGGGGACAAGAGAGCAATTTCATTAAATATTGGAGAAATGAGAAGTTTACTAAGCATAAGGTCATTCACATCAACGCTTGGTTATGACTTGAGGAAAATTAACGGAAAAAGAGGGGAAAAAGGAGAATTACAATCAAGTTTTAAGAGAAAAAAATTACTAAAAAATCCCAATAATAACTTAAATAGCCTGTAATAACAAATTTTAGAATAGAAAATAACAACTTTTAGGATTTATTTTGTTATTATTTTTTTTCTTGGGACCTCATCATAATTCTAAAAAAAAAAAAAGTTAAATGTTAGCTTGTCAATTACAAAATTAAAATTTGAAGAAACATAATGTGATTGATCAACACTGGAATATTTTTTGGCCTGAATTAATACTTGAATTTGAACTTTTAATTATTGGCAGTTAAGGAAGGACATATAACCGAAAGAAATTAGGTCCCTATAAACCTTCTTTAGCTTATATAGTCATATTTGTGTGTGTGATGTTAATTTGCCTCAGCCGTAACGATATTCTTTTAAAAAAATTAAAAAATAATTAAAAAGGAAATTAAAGAGCAAGAAATAGCTGAGTTAGGGTCGGCTAGCAAAAAGTCGAAAAGACCAGAGCCTAGGGACCGACCAATTCTTATCTTTTGGTACGCTAAATAATAAGATTATGTTTTTCACCTGAAAAGTTTGTTAACCTATTCATAAATTTGTGTGTTTGTATAGATACGTCCGATTCTTGATTCTAAATAATTTTACCTCCAGTTTTAAATATAAAAGTTATTTGAGAGTCCTAAATACAAAATGTTAATTTATTTTATCTCTCAAATTTATATATTCTTAAAATATTCCTACTGATTATAAGATACTTCCATCCCAATGTAGTTTCGATATACTCCCTCAGTTTTTAATGTAATTAGTTAATATAATATATTTTTTCTAAAACACCCCGAACATTTTTCTTAATTCTCTTCCTCTCTCTTCCCCCCTACTTGGTTATTGTTAGGAGTATAATATGGTTAATTTAGAAAAAAAAAATTGATGAATATGTGAAATAAGTCTTACATGTAGGATCAATATCAGTTTTCTAATTAGGTCTTATATTAAGGATAGGAGGAATACGTGGTTCAATAATGATAATTTAGGGAAACCAACACACATTTGTTACAAATAACTAGTTTAATTAATTTTCTTAATCTTTCTAGCTAAATTAATTATCTAGCTCTTATATATTAAGACAGGAAGTAGTATAAACTAAGTGAATTGTTAATTATCCCATTCTTTTTCTTTTTTTTTTAATTACCTCCGGTCATTAATATAAGAGCTAAAAAAAATAATTATGTTAATTAGTTATTTATTAATAAATGAATGTTGTGTTTTTCCCCTCAAAATACTCTTATTAATAATGTGTATTGAAACTAGTATTTGAAAACTCTTTAATATTTGCAATCAATATGGGGATTATTATTTTGGTAAAATGAACAAATATGAGAAACAAAGTGAATTGGAGTCTTATATTTGAGACCAAATTGAATTTTCAACTAACTCAAGACTAGAGGTAGTATTATACCACCTCCGGTTCTAATTATAAGACTTTGTTTGTAATCTACAGACAAGGTCTTTTAATATTATATTATCTCCGGTCCTAATTATAAGACCTTATTTGTAGTTTACAAACCAAATCTTATAATTAGGACTGGAGGTAGTAATGGAATTTGTCTTTTTACCACCATTGTTAGTGCCTCTTGTACCACAAGTTTTAAATTTAAACCAACCACAAGAACAAGATTATACTAAATTAATTCATTCATTAAGATATCCGAATGCTTTCCGACCACAAGAAAAAAAGTAACCAGACTACAATAATATAACTCGAGGTAATTAATTTTCAAAACCTTAATTATGAAGCTATAAAAGCGTGACAGATGGACATGTCATGTTCATTTACTTATCTTCATTCTAATCCAGCCACCGTCACTTGTACTTAAATAAAATTAAGACAAGTTTTTTTTTTGGCCAACAAAATTAAGATATATGAATGCTTTGCTTTCCGACCACAAAAAAATAATTATAATCAGACAATAATATAACTCGAGGTGATTAGTTATTTAAACCGTGATTATGAAGTACAATTAAATCGTGGCAGATGGGCATATGCATTGTTATTAATTATTCTGGTCTGATCTGTACGATATTAGTCGGCTTAATTGTGAGTTCAAAGAGACAAATTAAAGATGATCGCCAGAATATTAAATTAATTAGATTAGTTGGTATGAGAATTTTCATTATGATGATGAGTACAAAATATTTGTATGGACATCAATTAATACATGCATTTCTCAATCTAGTCTAATTTATTTTCTTATAGCGCGTATTTATACTCTAATCCATGTAATAAATAGCTTCACTTGAGTTAATCTGAATTTAAAAATTAAAATTAAATAGAACATTTTATTCTTGCCGTTGCTAGTTTTACTTTGTTTTGCTTTTATTCTTGCAGTTGTTATGATTCAAGTATTACCATAATTTATAATTATCTATGTTAACAAAATATGATAAATACTAACAAAATTTAAGTAGAATTTTTAGACTAATTAATTATGACAATATTTTTGAAAATTTTTCGCATTTGTGACATGCAGTTCAGGTGATTTTGGAACCTGCTTTACTAAGTGAGATATCGGATTCAAGATTTAGGAAGAAAGAAAATTATGGTTACCCAGAAATTTTTTTTTAAAATATTAGGTTAAGTTTTAAGATAGGGAAATTGGCTAGGTTTATTCTCAGAGGAGTTTTAAGAAAATTATTGTAAGATTTTGGGTTAAAATTTTGAAGATATGTATGTGGTCCAATATGACTCAACTCAAATCAAAGTTTATAAAAAGGTTTCCGAGCCGGTTGGTGTACAAGAACAAAGCTCACAAATTACAAACGTGCTATCACTTATTTTTTTAAAATGCATGGAGAACAAACTAATTATTAATTAAAAATTTTATAAAATTGTATGACAAAAGAATTTCCCCTTTTTCTATTTAATTTCCCTCACACTTCCATCATCAAACACCTCCACTCACATCTCTGTCTCTCTCTCCCACACACACACAGCTTCTTCTTGTTCTTCTTCTGCTTCTTCACTGTGTTGTTGACCTTCGATATAAAACTATCTCTCAACTGGGTCCATCATCATCATCATGGGGTCTGCAATTTCTGCAGAAAACAAAAGATCAGGAAGCGATCTTGGGGGAACATCGTCGTCAAGCCCTGGGCTCGGAGATATCCCAGAAAGCTGTATTTCAAGTGTGCTCATGAATTTGGAGGCAACAGATATCTGCAAATTGGCCCGAGTGAACAAGGCCTTTCACAGAGCTTCTTCTGCCGATTTCGTCTGGGAGTCCAAGTTACCTTCCTCCTACAAGTTTCTTCTCCATCAAGTTCTTGGCGGCCATGATCATGATGATGATCAACAAAACCTCCAAAACTCCTTCACTAAGAAACAGATTTATTCCATTCTCTGTCGACCCAATCGCTTCCATTCTGGTTCCAAAGTAAGCAGATCCATATCGCCTTCTTCTCATCAATCTTCTTTCTGCTATCTTTCTAGCTACTTGATTCTCTCGAACAATTACACACACACACTCATCTCATAAAATCTAACATTATCACACCACTTCACTATTTTAAGAACCGGATCTGATATTTCTTCAACTGTTTACCATATAACATATCGATAATGATGAGATTTATATTTAAAGCTAGAAAACTGATGGTCTCAAACAGATCTTCTTCTTCCTTCCTTCACTTACTGCTATTTTAGATTTTGATGTGTTTTTATTTGTTTATTTTTTGGCCCCGAATGTATTAGGAAGCGTGGTTGGATAGAGGGAGTGGGCAAGTTTGTTTGTTCATGTCAGCCAAGTCCATGAAGATTACTGGAATAGATGACAGAAGATACTGGAATTATATTCCAACCGAGGAATCCAGGTGACAAGATTTATCTCAGCAAATGCAGTTTTTTTTTTCCTTTTTGTTTTTTTAAAATATTTCTTTAATTTAATTAACTTGACTTGCTTTTTGGTGTTGAATTATTTGATTAGAACGTGGTTCCTGTGTTGAATTTGCCTGCTTTATGAATATATTGTTTTGATATCTGACCATTGCTGCGTCTCGAGAATTTTTTACCTCATATTTGGTGAAGTTAATGAGTTGTATAATTTAGTGGTCCAGATTAAATTTCAGTTTATTGTATTTTTAAGTCTTTTTCATCTCTTAGTATCTTCCAAAAAAGTGGAAACATCGTTTGACGGAAGAAACAGTAATATTTCACTATTTATATAACTTTATTGAACAAGGGGAAAGGCTAAACTCACACGATTCTGCTTTTGCATTCTAAAACCTTCAAGGCTTTTTCCAATAATCACGCTGCATGATGGAACAAGTTATAACAACGCTTGCTATCACCAAATTAAATCTTTAATATTATAAATTATTGCCAGAAAAATATATGATTTATTTCTTTAAGTGTGGAAAAATGTTTGTGTTATGAGTTCAGGCATCAAATCTATGTTTGTTAGCTAATATTTTGGGATATACTACCTCCGGTCCTAATTATAAGACCCAGTTGACTTATTTGAGGAGATTAAGGAAGTAAGTTAAGTTAGTTATTTGTAATAAATAAGTGTTGTCATTCCTAAAATATCATTGCTAATTAAGTATATTAGCTAGAACTATTATTATTAGAAGGATTATCTTGGAAAAAAATATATAAATATGAGAGACAAAATGGATTGGGGTCTTATAATTAGGACCAAACAAAAAGTCAAACGGGGTCTTATAATAAGGACCAGAGGTAGTATTATGACAGCTAGAAAATGACTTGTATTTCAGAAAAATAGAATTCATTTTAGGAAAAATAATAAAATATTTGTTGAATTTTAAAATTATAAATAGGTGATTTTAACTTGTCAAAACTAATACAAGAATAGTTAGATGACCTAATTGTGTTTTTAAAATTTATCATATTTTTCTCATTTTTCCTTCATTTTAATACAATGAAAAATTATTATGTAGATTTCTATAGTTGCATTTGATTTTTCTCAAATTTCTGTAATTTTTTAAATCAAAACCTTATAATTTTGCCTAATTTTAATCATGTTTCTATAATTTTTTTTATTTATGCCAGGTCAATAGTTTTATCAAATTATCAATCAGGTTTTTATAGTCTCAAGTGACTAATTAAAAAAAAATATAAAAAGGTGATAAAAAAAATCAGGCAAAACAATAAATGTCTAATAAAAAACTATAAAAAACCTAATTAAAAGTCATATAAAATTATAAGCACTTGCAAATTAATTTTATTTTAATACTTTTAATATATACTACTACTATTAAAGGTATTTGAGTAGGTTCAAATTTGATTGATTGTATGCCTTAATATTACTCGGGTAATATTTCTGTTTCAATTTTCAGAGAGGGTATGCTTTTCTGTGTATCATCATATATGCGTGCTCAGAATATATAATTAAGAAAAACTAGTCTTAAATAATCATAGTTAATGACAATATGAAGAATATTATTTTGGCTTTTTAGAAGAGAACACAAACACACACATGGTTTAAAGGTTGAACTTTCTGATTACTGTGAGTCTAAAGTTGCTGTTTTCTTCTGTCCTGTTGCCTTTTCACCAGCTTCTATAATGATCATTGCAAAGACTCTCAAAATCTAATGATGAGCCCACAAATTTTCAATGTTTTATTATTCTCTTAATTAAAGGTCACCGCTCATTATTTCCTTGACTCTTGATTGTATTTGCATCATTTGTATTAATAATAAAATACATGATGCTTATTGGTGATAAAATTATACATAATGTATAGTTAGAGATGTTAATTAGCTGGCCAAAGAAAAGTTAGAGAGATTATTTATGTCCTATTATATTACACAATTTGCAAAAATTGCAAATAACCTGGCACATAATAATTTGAAGTTTTGAAGAATAGTCGGACAACAAATGTAACTTAATCAATTTTGCTCTTGCATTACTAGCGTTTATTTTTAATCTAAAAAACTTATGAGTGACTGAATTAGTCTTCAAAAATAACTAAATAATTATGCACTTATCTTTTTTAATATTTATTATAGTATGTACTAATAAGGACGAACAACTTTGTCATACTCATATATTAATACTTAATTTTCAAGAGTGAGTATCTTAATAGGTCAAAAATTTATGTTATAACCCCTCATAATTTAAAAATTTGTAATTAATCATTTAAGCCTTTTATGATTTAAATATTTTTTTAAGTTATCCTTTATCATTAAATATAAATTTTTTTAAAATGGGAAATTTAATTCAATTATCAAACTATTAAAACACCATAAGAACATTAATTTTTATTTACAAAAAATGGCCGAAAATAATTGGAATTTTTTTTATTTATGGTGCAGGTTCAATAGTATTGCATATCTTCAGCAAATGTGGTGGGTGGAAGTAGTAGGTGACGTGGAATTTGAATTCCCAAAAGGGAGATACAGCCTAAATTTCAGACTCCAATTGGGCCGGGCCACAAAGAAATTGGGCCGACGGGTTTGTAACGTAGATCAAGTACACGGATGGAACATCAAGCCCGTTCGATTTGAGCTGTCTACATCGGACGGCCAGCATGCGCACTCAGAGTATTACCTTCGTAGGCCGGGAGAGTGGGCCCACTACCATGTTGGGGACTTTGAAGTTGGGCCTCACGATGGGCCCATAAACATCAAATTTTCGTTGGCCCAAATTGATTGCACCCACGCCAAGGGTGGCCTCTCCGTAGATTGTGCCTTCATAGGCCCCACTGAATTTTCCCAAACGGATATGCATACGAAATACTATTATTACGATGAAGGACCAAAAGTAAAAGTGGCAAAAATAAATAAATAAATATTTTTAACCACATCAATGTATTTTGTGCACAGCTGTACAAGGACAATAGTTTGTTTATGTTGATTTAATTTTTTTTAAATAAAATTATTGTATTTTTGTAGTAAACAGTAGGTATGACGGAATATTTACAGTACTTCACCACCCAAACAAAGTCATCAAATTGTTAATGAATAGAAGTATCATAGAGCCTAACCATGCATAATCAGTGTTGTTTTGTGAGCTTCTAAATATAGATGTGACAGGTAAAAGATTTGATCCTAGTTACTTTTTCTGGTCCTTTTATTAACTACAATCTTTATTTCTAAATATAAGAGTTAGTTGGAGTTTTAATTTGATCGTAAATGAGTCTCTTGCAAACTTAACTGTTGCTGATTTGAGACTTGGTTTTGGATGGAATTTGTCTACTTTTCAAGGAGTAATCATTATATTAATGAAGGGAAAAAAATTGCAATTCTTAATGCGGTGGTTACTAGTAATAATCGTCAAGATAAATGGATATGGACTGGTGGTTCTAGAAGTTACTATGCAGTAAAAGATGGGGACAAATTAGCAAAACAGGATGTTCTCCATAGGTATGATTCATTTCCCTCTGTATCCAATGACAGCCATAGGAAATTTTGGCAAGAAGTCTGGCAAATTAAGGTTCCCTAAAAATTTAAAAATTTCTTGTGGAGATTAATTTCCAAGGCTTTCCCTACTTTTGAAAATCTTGCTAAAAGGAATTGTAGTCCCACTGATGTTTGTCTAATCTACAAAAGCAGTGTAGAAACGTTGGATCATCTTTTTCTTAAATGCCACTGGGCCAAGATGACTTGATTTGGAAAGGTCTTTTACTTTCATTCCTAACAATATTGATCCTGATCCCATTTTCCACCTTCGAGCAAGCAGATAAACTTCTTAGGGAGTCGTGGGAGGCCAATGGATGGATTCAGTCAGAGAAAAATTCCTAGAATCCAGACGGAGGAGTAATTTAAAAATAAACTCCGACTGTGCTTATGATGCAGAGCTTAACTTGGCTGTCTTTGTCTTGTCTTCCTGGTGAGAGATTCAAATGGCTTTCTATTAGATAGAAGAACTCATTTTACTATTGCTCAATAGGCGTTAACGGCTGAAGGTAGCCGCGCTCAGTGATGCTCTTGAGTACGCTGTTGAAAATAATCTTCAGCATATTCAATTTGAGTCTGATAATCAAATCCTTATCAATTGCATTAATAATCTTGATTCTTATTTAATATAGATTATACCTTATGTAAACAAAGTTAACACAATAATAAACGAAGGATAAAATTATACATCCATATAAAAAATTTCTTAATGCCCTATAAACAGAACTAAAAAATATTTTCTTTCTATTTTATAAATAGGACCAAAAAGTACTTTGTACATCATGAGGTTCTTTGTATAATTTTGATTTCTCAAGTTTTTTATTTCTAAAAAGATATTCGGCCATTTAAGGCGTTGCTGTTTGCTTGTTTTTCAAATCCTCACACTTTTCTTGGACGAATAAACAATAACGTATGTCAAACATGACATTAAATTCTGGATGAATAATCTTTTGCAACTGAGCTTTCATGTCAAGGACATCCTCCCTGGATTTGGATTCTCTCCACTTCTTCTCCCATCCTCTTTCCCTCCATTACTCTCTTTTTGGCCCTTCACAACCATTAGATCAAAACTTCAATAGTTCAGATTTAATATTTTACAACATTTTATAAAAATAAATATAATTATAAAAATAGATAAATAAGTTTAAACTGTTAAAATCTAATTTAAACAGCTTATATCTACAGACTGTTATGACAGAGTAAATTTTTTTCAACTTTTTTTTTATTACAGTTGTTAACTGTTTAGACAAGATTTTAACAGTTTAAATTTATTTATTTTTTTTAATAACATTATTTTTATAAGATGTTAAATCTGGACTATTGGAATTTTGATCCAATAGTTGTGAAGAGAAAAAGAGGGTAGTGGAGGGGAAGAGGATGGGAGAAGAAGTGGAGAGAATCCAAGTCCATCCTCCCATCTCTATCTTTCTCAATTCTTGACTCGTTAAAAGCAAAAAAAAGCAAAAAGATCAACGCACTCACCATTTCTCTTTCCTCTTTTGTTTTGTTATGAGAACAGAATTAGGGCCTGTTTGGTTTGAGAGGAGGGTAGGGGAGGGAGGGGTAGGAGAGGAGAGGGGAGGTTTCATCCTCACCTTGTTTGATTTGATTAAAAACGAGGAGAGGGGAGGATATTTAATGATCCCTTGTTTGGTTCAAGGAGAGGAGGGGAGGGATAGTAATAATCAATTTACCATTTTACCCTTACATATTAGTTTATGTTTTTTATTGATATATTATATAAATTAATTTACATCTTAATTTAAATCATATAATTTAATAAGAATTCAGTCTTATCATGTTAATATGTGTATTAAAAAATTGGTACAGTAATTTTTTAGTCTAATTAATATAATAATATATTTAAAATAATCAAATTAACAAATTTATATGCTCTAAAAAAAATAAAATTTTATTCTCTTTAGGCTATCTTTTTTTCCAGAATTAAAATATATTTATAAAAAAACAATTAATTTTATAATATTATAATTTTTTATTTAAATAATTTTTTATTTTTAAATAATTTTTATAATATATTTTTAATTATAATAATTTATATATTTTTTATTTTTTTACTTAGGATAATATATTTTTTATTTGAAATAAATATTATAATAATATATTTTATGGGTAGAAGTGAAATATTGAAAAAACTATAAGAGCATAATGGTCCAAAAATTTGGCTCCCCTCCAAAAACCCCCCATTTGGAGGGGAGCCAAAATGGGGGGAGGGAGGGGAGGGGACATTTTCCCTCTCCTCCCCTCCCCTCCCCTCCCCTTCCTCTCATTGAGCCAAAGGAGGGGAGGGAAATGGAAGGATTTTAATATTATCTTGTTTAGATTTATAAAAAAAGAGGGGAGGGGAGGGAAAAATATTTTAATATGGACAATTTTGCTGTTATTTTATTTAAGGCGTGGGAATAATGGTCACAACATGACAAAATATAGACATAATGGTCACAACATGACAAAATATGGGTATAATAGTCATAATATGACAAAATATTGTCCTTTCCCTCCAAATCCTCCCAATTTTGGAGGGGAGGTTGAGGAGGGGAGGGGAGGGGAAATTTTAAAAAATTTTCCCTCCTCTCCTAAAATTTGTGTGTTGCCAAACAAGGAGAAATGATTAAAATCCCTCCCCTCCCTCCCTCCCAAATCCCTCATACCAAACACACTTTTGTTGACTATTATTTATCAAATCTTGCTCTATAATCTGATTTGATCTTGTAGTCCAAATAATCCAGTACCATGATGTATCTGGAATAGTAATTATTAGTGAAACAAAAATACTTGTACAAACCACCACTTAGTCTCATGGATTCTTGCACTTAGCTTATTAAAAATATAAGGATTATATTTATTAAAATAAAGGAGAACAGAAAAGAGTGAGAGTCTATTCTCCTCTCACCTGCTCCTTTTCCCCCTGCAACTTTCAATTAAATACGACGAGACTAAATGCAACGCATTTAGATCCAAAATCAGAAGCACTCAACTAGAGTTATTCTTGAACGATTTCGTCGGTTTAATTTCGTTGCAGAACCAGCAAGATCATCAATAGTATTGCATATCTTCAGCAAATGTGGTGGGTGGAAGTAGCAGGTGACGTGGAATTTGAATTCCCAAAAGGGAGATACGGCCTATATTTCAGACTCCAATTGGGCCGGGCCACAAAGAAATTGGGCCGACGGCTTTGTAATGTGGATCAAGTACACGGATGGAACATCAAGCCCGTTCGATTTGAGCTGTCTACATCGGACGGCCAGCATGCGCACTCAGAGTATTATCTTCTTAGGCCGGGAGAGTGGGCCCACTACCATGTTGGGGACTTTGAAGTTGGGCCTCACGATGGGCCCATAAACATCAAATTTTCGTTGGCCCAAATTGATTGCACCCACGCCAAGGGTGGCCTCTCCGTAGATTGTGCCTTCATAGGCCCCACTGAATTTTCCCAAACGGATATGCATAAGAAATATTATTACGATGAAGGACCAAAAGTAAAAGTTGCAAAAATAAATAAATAAATATTTTTAACCACATCAATTTATTTTGTGTACAGCTGTACAAGGACAATAGTTTGTTTATGTTGATTTAATTTTTTCTTACATAAAATTATTGTATTTTTGTAATAAACAGTAGGTATGACGGAATATTACAGTCCTTCAACGCCCAAACAAAGCACATTTACAATCATCAAATTGTTAATGAATAGGAGTATCATGTAGCCCAACCATGCATAATTAGTGTTGTTTTGTGAACTTATAAATATAGATGTGACAGGTTGAAGATTTGATCCAAGTTGCTTTTTCGGGTTCCTAGATATAAGGTCTTGATTTTACTCCTAAATATGAGAATTAGTTAGAGTTTTAATTTGATCCTAAATAAGTCTCTTGCGAACCTAAGTGTTGCTGATTTGAGATTTGGTTCTGGATAGAATTTGTCTATTTTTCAAGCAGTAATCACTGATGAAGGGGAAAAAAATGCGATGCTTAATGCGGTGGTTGCTAATAATAATCGTTATGATAAATGGATATGGACTGGTGGTTCTAGAAGTTGCTATGCAGTAAAAGATAGGTACAAATTAGCAAAACAGAATGTTCTCCATAGATATGATTCATTTTCCTCTGTATCCAATCACAGCCATCGGAAATTTTGGCAAGAGGTCTGACAAATTAAGGTTCCCTAAAAATTAAAAATTTCTTGTGGAGATTAATTTCTAAGGCTTTCCTTGCTTTTGAAAATCTTGCTAAAAGGAATTGTAGTCCCACTGATGTTTGTCTAATCTATAGAGCCGGTAATACGGGCCTAGCCCGCCAAAAAAGGCGGGTTCGGGTTGGTATTTTGCCAGCCCGTTATGAGTAGCCCGCATCGCTTTTGACCAGCTCCGCCGCTCGCAGGCCAGCCCACTTTTTTTTTTGGTTTACTTCTCCTGATTTTTTAATACATTATATAATATAATATAGTTAGAGGATTTTGACTCTTAAATTTCATATGAACATTATCTCATTCA